GCACTTTGTGTTATACAACCCTTCTAAGAGGCATAATTTAAGATCTCTGAATCTGAACTGTTAATAATATTAACATCTCTTTATGTAGCCCTGGCTGTCCTGGGACTCACTATGTAAACCAGGCTGGCTTCTAATTCATTGAGATCCACCTGCCTCTGCCTCCCAGGTGCTGGGATTAAAGGCGTGCACCACCACACCCTGTTGTTTGTGCTTGCTAATTGTGTTAAATCATATTCAGACTTTCTAACTGCACTCCAGCACAGCCTCCTAATAATTAAAGGATGTTGGACACTGGTAACATAAGGAGAGTATCTGTAAATGCATACTTTACTTTTGTGAGCCGGGCATTGGTGGCACACGCCTTAATCCCAGCACTCGGGAGGCAGAGGCAGGTGGATCTCTGTGAGTTCGAGACCAGCCTGGTCTACAAGAGCTAGTTCCAGGACAGGCTCCAAAGCCACCGAGAAACCCTATCTCGAAAACCAAAAACAAACGAAGGAAGGAAAGGGGAGGAGGAAGGAGAAGAAAAAAGAAAGGGGGCGGAAGGAGGAAGGGAGGGAGAAAGCTGTACCTGTGTTAGAAGATTTCATAAGGCCAAATGACTAAAACTTCAAGATTATAGGTGGTGTTAAAATGTAGACCAGAGCCAAATTATGTTGGGCTATTTTTAGTCTCTTAGAAAGCCATTCATTGCCCACCTCTGTGTCTGACCTGGAATGCTTGCAGAGGGATCAGAATCTTAAAGCTGCTGTTGGAGAAATGATGCATCAGCACTGGTTGCTGTTGAGGACTAGGGTTTGGTTCTCAGCATCCACATCACATGGTGGCTCACCACCATCCCTAAGTCTGGTTCCTGGGCATCCAAAGCCTCTTCTGACTCCCAAGAGCACCAGGCATGAATGAATATGGTGCACATACATACATGCTGGCAAAATATTCACAACTTAAAGAAATCTTCAAATGTTTGTTTTGTTTGTTTAATCTTAAAATGTATTATTAGGAGATCACTAGCTTCCACCATCCCAAAGCTAAGGATGTCATCAGATAGGGGACACTGCCCAGGGTAAGCAGCTTTGGAAGAGGCTACCCCCTAGGGCAAATTGGGAAAGGCTGGGCAAGAGCAGCCAGTTACTACGGGCGCCACTGCTACTATTGGACTGGCCACCATCCTGTAGCCCCTCGGTTCTGGAGTCAGATGGGTCTTCACTGGGGACCGGCCCTCTGCAGCGCCCCCATTTGGTTGGAGAAGCATTCTGGCAGAGTGGGTAGAAGACAGCCAAACCAGACTCAGCAAAGCCCCATGGTGCTGAAAGCCTCAAAGTGCCTCAGCAGACCCAACTCTGGGGCGGTGTGCCGCTAGTCGACTAGGGAACAGCTCCCAGGGTTCAGAATCTCCATCGACAGAGCCCCCCCACTTCCACCTGGGAAGTTCCACCGTTAGCGGTCTCCGAGGCCTCACTCTGCTCGCGCACACAGCAGTTGCTGGATGATCCATCTCCGACTCAGGACAGCGAAGAAGGCCAGGGAGGGAAGGAGAAAAAAAGAGGCAGAAAGGACAGGGTGCCAGCTTGATTAAGAGCCTAAAAGACTGGAATCCAACAATCATCTTCCTCCCTAGTCTGAGGATCAAGCTCACTTCAATTCTTTATAATTAGCCACAGTGGTGACTCTGGAATGACTGAAGGGCCCTTTCTCTTGCTGAGAGGGAGGACCAAAGATTACATTTCTCTCTGGGGATCCTTCCAAGGCAGAATTCCTACTGGGGCAAGGGACTCAAGATGCAATTTCTAAGCCAACAGTTCATCCTCTAGCGACTTGAGGTTGCAACGTTTTAAAAGATGCCCCTTTTAAGATCAGATTTCCCCAGATGAGCTTCTGCAGTTGGCTGAGGGTGGCGCCAACAGCTTCAGGAAACCGCTGGAGAAATGGCTTGCACAAAAGGCTTCCCCCTGCTAATAAGGACCTTCCAGTGCTGAAGCCAACAGTGAGTTTCATCCAAAAAGATTACGTTGCAACAATGACCTCCTCTTCAAAGACCTCCTTTGATGGTGCTTTTGTAAAGGACCTGGCACTTTGGGTCAATGGCTAGAAGTAACCAGATGTGTGGGACGATTTCTGAAGGACATCCGCCCCCTTTCCCCGAAAGGACCCCTTAGGGTGACTTCAAGACACTTGAGATGAAACATTTGAAATGAATGTCCTTCCCATCTACAGGATCTCCTGTTGCTGAGGCCAACAGTTAAGGACCAGGGCATCTACCAGTGACTAGAGGATGGAACTTTCTAAAAGACCTAATGTTTGAACCTCAGGAATAAGGTATCTTCAAGGGACAGGATACATAGGCCAATGACTGCCTGCATTGGGAAAAGGGAAAGAAAACTTGCCAATGTGACGTTGAAGGAATATTCTCAGTTGGATGTAGTGAACACAGTTAGTCTCAGGAGGGCTGGCCAGAAAAGACATGAAAGCTAAAGTCACAGAATTGTCTTCAAGACAGGATGTATTTGGCTTTGACAGGAGGCTTTCACAGAGTGCTGCCCCAGTCACAATCACAGCCTCAAAACCCTCTTGAGGCAAATAAAGAATGTTCCAGAGGAGCCTGGATCCCTCACCCTTTTTCATGGTTGTAACACAAATAATAAAAACACAGATAATTGGGGTTCAAGCTGAAGATCAGAAAGGCAAAGCCACCAGCCACTAGCTCTTACCTCTTCCTCAGACTGAAAAGGGTGATCTGGCCAGCTCTAAGAATCCTCAAAGTGCAATGCTCTCCACCAAACCTCAGACTGCAGTCCTAGGCTGCTGCCTCTCCTCAACATGACTGGAGACTAAATCTTCACATGAGACCCTTTGCTTCTTCCTTTAATACCTCTCTCCACCTCCCTAATGCTGGGATTAAAGGCTTGGGATCCCAAGTGCTAGGATCAGCTTTGTGTGAGCTCTCTCTTTTAGACTGGATCAATTTTGTCGTGGACTCCGTATAGTCTTGAACTAACAGATTCTGTCTCCCCAGTCCTGGGATTTAAAGTATATGCTACCACTGCCTGACCTCCATGGCTTTGGCTAGCTTTGCATTCTGAACCCTCCAAGCAAGCTTTAATAAGTCATAAATAATATATCATCACAATCCCCCTTTTTTGTATCATACAAAAAGAAGGCTACAACTAACATAAGAAAAAGAATATACAATAAGTACAATAAGTATATACAGGCAATAAGTATATCAACAATGTCTAGTGCATTTGCATTTGACAAGTTCAGAGAAAATACTTCATTATCTATCCTATCTTGGTGAGTCCAAAGTCTTGTACCTAATTTTCTTTCTATTCTAACTCGCATTACCAACTCTCTAAATTATCTTTTTGTCTTTCAATCTTATATACTTTGCATTTCTTTAGTGTGTTTCTTTTCTGAGTCTGGTAAACAAGGAAAACTGTAACTATCACTATCTATTCTTCAACTCCCTCAGAGACCTGAGAAGGATATAATATTAACTGAGAAAACAGGAAATGCTATCAAATTAGTTCCAAAACATGTGAGAAATGACAAACAGCTGGCTGTCTGGACAGTCACCCAAAGTTCCTATGCAATATTAGGACATCCATCTTCGGCCCCTTAGGCTCTGTACTCAAAAAATAATTTGACCAATTCTTTCATAGCTATGTGCTGAAGTTTCTGTCTGATAATTTCTATGTCATTATTAGAGATGATTTTTTTCCTCTATTCATTTCCATCAATTTTGTGTAGCTTGTGTCTTTGGTCTCTTCCATTTTCTGTTGAAGAATCCAATTTCTGGCTCGGTCATCAGTAAAATTCCAAGTAGCTCCCTCATTAATATTCTGGTATACATCTCTTTCCCTGTTTTTCCTTTCTCTCTAACTCTTGCTTTTGGAATCCCTGCATAACCCCTTGTAGTCTCTTCAAGTCATAGTGTAACATGAATAATAAAAACCCAGAGATAGATAATTGGGGTTCAAGCTAAAGATCAGAAAAGCAAAGCTGCCAGCCACTAGCTCTTACCTCTTCCTCAGACTGAAAGGATGATCCGGCCAGCTCTAAGAATCCTCAGAGTGCAATGCTCTCAGAATGCAGTCCTAGGCTGCTGCCTCTCCTCAACATGGCTGGTGACTAAATCTTCACATGAGACCCTTTGCTTCTTTTATACCTCTCTCTGCCCAGCCATATCACTCCTGTCTCCACCCTCCTAGTGCTGGGATTAAAGGCATGGGATCTTTCGATCATGTGCTGAGATCATCTTTGTGCGAGCTCTGTTTCTCTTTTAGACTGGATCAATTTCTTGTAGTTCAGTGTGGCCTTGAACTAACAGATCTGTCTGCCTCAATCTCCTGAGTCCTGGGATTAAAGATGTCTGCCACCACTGCCTGACCTCTATGGCTTGTGGCTAGCTTTGCATTCTGAACCCTCAGGCAAGCTTTAATAAATCATAAGTAATATATCACCACACATGGTGGCGTGAGCATACCCAGAGTTCAAGAGTCCAGCTATCAGAGCAAAGAGTTCTTTAAGCACTACCAGGAATGTCCAGCTTTCAGGGGTCTCCAAACCCATACTATAGTGGCTCCAAGGAGGACCGTGAGTCAAGCACCAGAGCAGAGACCACATAACAGGGATACAGGGTTTTAAATGGACTTCCGGGCTCGGTAAGCTGTGGAGCAAGGAAGTCTTCCAGCACACAATCAAAATGGTTTGGAGTGGACGAAGCATCTTTTTGGATGAAAGAAGGAAGGCAGTGAAGCCCAGAGACTCGGATGCCCCAGGTGGTGGCATTTAGTTGCCCTGATCTTTGTGCCAGGTGCCCCCACCATCCTGATGAAGCTCTGACTGGACGACAAGGCTTCCCTAGTGATCTGGACAAGAGAGAGAAATTCTCTCCGCTTCTCTAGTATCAACTGCTGCCATGCCTTTGAGTCACAGTGCTTGCCAAAGGGGACCTCAAATTCACTACATTAAATCTATACCATTCTTTCCCAGAGATTGAACATCACCAGCTTTGAATGAAATGACTACTTTGAAGACAAGGGTGCCTACCCATCATTGACTGCCTGATGCTTAGTTTCCATGGAGATTTTCAGAGCTACCTGACACAGGTATTTTCTGACCTTATTGGGTAACCCACCTCTTTCTCCTAAGCTGGTGTGACATTCACCGCCCCACACCTCCAGCTTCTCATCTAGGAACTTCTCATATTGTCAGCGCTCAGGGCCTAAGCCAACATCATGATGTGCACAGAGCTTAGGAGACGTGTCTGCATCTTGTTTCCTTGTGTCTTACTGGAGTTGCCCAATGAGCCTCTGTGAAGCACCCTGCTCACAGATGCACTTTTTGAGCACTAGTATTCTCCCATAACTGGGTTGCTCCTTCATTACCAGGCTTTTTTTTTTTTTTTTTTTTTTTTTTTTTTTGGTTTTTTTAGACAGGGTTTTTCTGGTTATTTTTTGGGGCTTTCCTGGGACCCCTCTTCACTCGCTCTGGAGACCAGGCTGGGCTCGAACTCACAGAGATCCGCCTGCCTCTGCCTCCCGAGTTCTGGGATTAAAGGCGTGCGCCACCAACACCCGGCATTACCAGGCTTTTTATGGCCTCCTCTCTGTGACAGTCCTGAGCTAGTGGCTATAGTTAACCTTCTGTTGATGCCAGGATAGAACTCTACATGATGCTCTTTAGCTCAAAACTCCGAGACCAGGGCCTTCCTCCTCTTTAGCAAACTTGGTTTGCTTTCTTCCATGGTAACAGGCTCAATTCCCTCATTTGTCTTTCAAAGGTCTTATGCTGGAGGAATCTGGCTAACTCAGCTGTTTGCTCTCTATGGCTGTAATGATGGCTGTAATTCCCACACTTCTCCTGGCTGTAATGCTTCTCTTGCCTCCAAACTTGAATCACTCTGCTTGCCCACACTAACTGGACTTCAGCTGGATCTTTATGGCCTCCAAAATGTGTCCTTCAAAGCCACTAGTTTGTTTGGTATATCTGATGCTACTTGTGGCTCTCAACTTGGTTGTCTCTCACCACGCCCTCTGTAAAGGTTCCACACCACCATGTCCAAGATCTTCCCTGAAAACAAGGCTTTTAGCATCTTATGAACAACATATGGTTTTTAGCTTCTGTAGGTATCTTCTGTATCTTCCTAGTATCTTGTAAATTTGAATGACTTTCTTGGGTTTTTTGTTTTGTTTTGTTTTGTTTGGTTGTTTTTTTTTTGTTTTTTGCTAAGCAAAGACATGGTCTTTACTCTTAAATAGGTTTCAATTGTCACTGCCTCAGACTTTTTCTTGGGAAAAACATCCATGACTTTTGAAGAGAGCTTCTGCTACACTCTGCAAGCCTGCTCCCTGACTCCAAGCATCTGGCAGAGCTACTCGGAAGAAGGCAAGTCACCAAGGTGAGGGCCCTGGCACTTACCTATAGAGCCTACAAGTAGGAGACTATGTCCTAGTTTCCCCAGTTGCTGGTAAAGGTGGTTCAGCCCAATTCTAGCTAGCCTATAACCTACTGTTGGCTGGGGCAACTATTAGAAATCTGAGATCCAAGGGTTTTAGGCTCAAGGTTTGGCTCCCAAGTTCTTTGGGGCTCACCATAAAACTCTCTCTCCCAGTCTTCAAGTGTGAGAGCCCAAAGCTTGGAAACCCATTTCCTCCTCTCACTCTCCCCAGGACCAGGGCTTCCCCCTCTCAAGTCCTCCCCGTGGAGATCAGAGTTTTCAGGGGTCAGTAGTTCTTCTCTCCTATTACACCACTCATTCTCAAAGTGTCCCCGGCCTCTGGCCTCCACACTGCACCGCTGCCCTGGTCTGAGAACCAATGAACTTTGCACAGCCCCAGCTTCTTATCTACCCTGTGTGGGCAGGGATAGGGGAGAGGGTTGTGATTTAGGCTAAAGCCCATACAAGTTTTTGGTCCCCATGATTGTTGATGCTAGGTTTAGCAGCATCCATGAATACCACCTGGACATGGAGGGGCACAAGCATCCCATGGGTAGGTGAAATGTGTGTGACAAGCAGAAGGCCAGAAACAAGGGATAGAGTTCCCTGGGGAATTGGATGATCAGACGTGGCTAGTTAGAGATGTCAGGACGTGGCTTTTGTCTTTAATAATCCTGGTAACTGTGTTTCTGTCACCCAGCCAGAACATTGTGAGTGGCAGCTGTTCACAGCAAGATGACTCCACATGGAAAGATTGCCCACAGCAAAGCCAGTATTACTTTATTCCAAGGAGTTTTCTTAGGATTTCACTTCAGCCAGCATCCTGGTTTTTTGCCTCTTTGGTGAATCAAAGGAGCTGATAAAATTTGTTTGTAACTCTTCAGAAATTTTGGTCCAGCTGTATCTTCCCCAGCCACTGTACCTAACACTTCACCTTCCATTTTGTTTAGGGCTCTTTTGAACACTTTAGGGTCCTTTGGAACCATTCCTGGTGACTTTTCTTGGTGATTGGCTTTGTCTTTCCCGGTTCTTCTGAGCTATTTCAGTTTTGTAGAAGTATTTTTTGAACTATTATGCCATTTGTACGGTGGGTCTTAGACTATTTGAGTATCTGGCCTATGATAGGGAAGGCTTCTTAGGTTTTACTGAGCCAGTACAGCTCTGTAGAATCGTATGAGATAGGGAGGCAGGGGTATCAAGGAGATCACGGGTGTGAGTAACATGACCATAAAATACAGGAAGTCTATCCTATGGTTTTTACGATGGCATCTAAAGCTACTTGGTGCAATCAGTGTATGGCTGACCTTCCTAAAAACAAGTAACAAACTCCAGCCACTTGGCATGCCTTTATCAAAAGATCTTGTTTATAGATACATACACACATTTGTGTGCATCTCTTAGAGACATTTTTTTAGGCTATATTAATCCTCAGAGTTATATTTTTTTCTCTCTTCCTTCAAAAAAGTGGTTAGCGAAGATGCAAGAACTTAGCAAATTTGAAACAAACAAACAAAGGCCCAATTTTACTGGATTTCCTTCAGGGACTCTCTATAAAGGTTAATTAATGGATATGTTAATTTTGAGCTTGCTATGCCCTACTCAGAGTTACTCCGTATTTTATAATACTTCTTGGGCTTTTTGTTGTTTGTTTATTTTTCGAGACAGGGTTTCTCCCACTTTGTAGACCAGGCTGGCCTGGAACTCACTGAGATCTGCCTGCCTATGTCTCCCAGCCCAAGTGCTGGGATTAAAGGCATGTGCCACCACCGCCCAGCCAGTGCTTTTTTTTTTTTTTTTTTTTTTTTTTTTTTTGTTTTTTTTTTTCTTCTGGCTGTTTGTTGCCCTAGAAGTCAGACCTTTACAAGTGGCTTTGAAAAGGGTGACAGCAGTCCCCTGGGTGGATAGAAACTGCAAATCTACCACCCCTGCTGCACAGACTGACAAAGGATTTACTCCTGGGACTAGGAAGGGAGTAATGGCGTGAGTCTGTTCCAGAGAATTGAATCTGTGGGGGCACGTGTGTAAGCATTGCAGCTTGGATGGAAAAGTATCCTGGCAGTCGGAGGGCAAGGAATATCACAAAGTCACTGTAAGGACAGCAGCTTACAGCTCTGCTCCGGGGAAAGGCTTCCCCATCCAAGTTGTTGCAGCTCTGCTGAGGTCTGGGGTAGTCCCCAGGCTCCACTTTGGGAACTCTTCCCCAGCAGAAGCTGTTACAGCTGGGCCCTCTTCTGTAAAAGCTGCACAACAAACCTCACTCAAGAGATTTATCCAGGAGGAGGAATCCAGGTGGTGGCTGCCTCTAGGGTGAGAAGCAGCTGCAAACTGAACAGGGTACAGAGCTTATGTAGGGTTTCTTGGGGAGGGGGCTTGAGATTGGTAGATTTTTGTGGTCTGATCCTGGGACAATCTCGGGGATTGGTGGAATTTCAAGCCCTGGTCCTGGGGTCTAGTCAGGGGCAGGGTGATTTTTCCTTGGCCCCTTTCACCCTACAACATGGATGTATTAAAACTGTATCAGGAAAAACCAGACCCAAGATACGTCTGGGTCTGGATACGTCAAAATAAGGAAAAGGGTGTGTGTATTCCCTCACCTGGGCTCCATAAACTGATGGACTCCTAACACTGACATGGTATGATCCCACCTCAACCTGTCATCTGATGCCCGGGGTGTGCACCAAGGACCAAGGACTCCTGATCATCCCCTGAGTACCCCTTGAGTTTCAGCTTGGCTCTGTCCCCTGCTGTGGGGACATAGCCTACTCAACTGCCTGCCACCTGTTCACCCAAATGTACCTGAGCAGCCATTTCCGGTTTCCTGCTTTCACCTCTCGGCTGAACTCTGAAGCCTCACTCTCAAACCCGACTCAGCAGTACCAGCAGCAACCGACTCCCAGAAGTAGTTTGGTTCATTATCTCATCAACACAGACTCTCTCCCTCAGCCCACTTTTGAAACCATGAACTGTGCTACGACTCATCCTGTAATCTCCATCAACGTATATAGGTATAGGTATAGTTGCTGTGTATGTGCTCTGTGCTGTGTGACATGAGAGTTGATGCTAGTAATTAAGATTGGAATAAAAGAACCTTCACTCACCTTGGCCAGGCTACCAAGGTAGACAATTATGACAGAAACTGTTCAGCCAGGGCTGGAGAGATGGTTAAGAGTATACTGTTCTTGCGGAGGGCCTGGATTCAGGTCCCAGCACCCATTATCAGGTGGCTCACAAATGTCTATAACCCCAGCTCCAGCAAATTTGATACCACTGGGCTCTGTGGGTGCTCACACTCCCATGCCCTGACTCCCACATACTTACACATGTACACATACTTAAAAAAAATGAAAAAAAAATGTAAAGGAAACTGCTAAACCTTGGGACTTTATTTGCTAGTCAGTAAATTCCACCCTTGTAGAAAGACATGTCCATCTTTGTTTCTGGCATAGTGCATGGGCCATGCTGGGGCTGAGAAAAATCTCACAGGGCTTACAAGAAAGATATCTTACAGCCTTAAAAGATGATTAAATTGTTTAGTGTGTGCTTTTGTTAAGTACTCGGGAATCTCCAAACTGCTTTTTGCTAGGCAAACTTAAAATGTAAATTTCAAAGATGAATTCATTTCATGAATTCTGAGCCTTCATTCAAATGAAATGCTATATATTGTCATCATTAAGATGAGATAACCCTGCTATTCAGCTAATTGATAATACATTTGTTTAATTTTTTTGGTTTTGGTGTTTTTTTAGGGTTTTGTTTGTTTTTGAGATGGTCTCACTCTGTAGTTGCCTGCATAGCCTAGAACCCACTATGTAGACCCAGCTGACATCTGCCTGCCTCTAGAGTGCTGGGATTAAAAGTATGTGTCACCATGCCAGACCCTACATTTTGCTTAAAGAATGTCTTAAAATTAGGTATTTGGATACTATGTTATCAGGAAAGAGTTACTGGTTCTTTATGGGTCTCATTCATAAATAATGTTCTAAATGAACTCAGAAGGAAGCTTGAGGACCACTTTATTGCAGTTTTGAAAGAAAAGCAGGGCAAGCGTGCTGGAAATCTTGCTGGCTGTCAGAAAGAAGGAGGTGGAGGAGAGGAAGACAGATTCCTTATTGAGACAGGATCCAAAAAAGCAAGCAAGCTCAGAGACAGAGTGTGAAAAGCTGCTTGGGTGAGGGTCTCCATTGAGAGTAGACTAGCCTGAGGGTGGTGCACTTTATCTGATGAAAAGAGAGAAAGGTTGAGTGCAGGGCAAGCTACTGCTCTTGATTTAGAATTCATAAAAATGGACCAACAACAGTGACAGCCCTGTAAGCACCTGCAAGGAGGAAGGGGCCGATAACAGGTAACGTTTTCACATTTAGGACCGAGTAGAATGTCATGCCACCACCTGGAGCCAGAGGTAGTACTCTGTGTTCTTTTGACCAGTAAGAAGTGGCTCTTTCTCACTGGATTCAATAAAGCCCTGATTCCTCCACCCTCCTCCATTTCATAGGGTATTTTGAATCTTGAGGAGGGACAATAGTAAAGAGTTCTTTTCTTGCTACCAAGGAAAATGGGCGGTAGCAGCCTAAGCTGATGCTGAGGAGAGGGCCCATCCTAGGTGGTCTCCACGCCCGCTAATGCCTGTCTTCTGTCTAACCAATAATTTCACAAGTATGTTCATAGTAAAAATTACCGAGCTCAAACTAGTGTTTACAGCAACGTTAGCTGGAAGGTCTCTGATAATTCAATGTCCATGTTTGTAAATAAACATGTCTGTAGTTGGCTCTCCAACTGATCCATGCAACTTGGTGAGAATCTTATTAACTGTTGTGTTTACTGACAACAGCCTGTGGTGAAACTATGTTGTGTGTTTGAAACTGTGATGCTGTGGCCTCTCCCTCCTGTTGTGCTCTGTGTTCTTGTTACTGCATTTATTAGGCGAACTGTACGGAAACTCTTCCTGGAGAGGAACAATGGGCCAACCTGGAAGCAGCTTGTGGCCTCATCTTACCTCTCCACCTCAATCTACTTTAAAGAAATGTTTCTGGGAATTAAGATTGCCAAGAGGCAGAACTTCAGTAATGGGACATCTTGGTAAAAGAAAAGCAAAGGTTTTCTTGTCAGATCCAGTTTTGAACTGCCCACTTTTATAACATTTTCAGCACATGGACTTGTTAAGCAGTTTGAAAGGGTCACTGTGCTTGTACGTTGTGAGTTTTCATCTTAATGGGATGATTTAAGATCTTAGTAGAGATTACAAGGTAAAGAGTGAAGCAATTTTGTAAGTTTTCACTTGGCAAAGTACACAAAGTTTGTTACTTAGCCAAAAACTTCATCTAAAAACAATATATTTCAACCTTTTGGTCTCTGCCCTTAGAATACATTTGGTTAAAATTGGATGGAGGGGTTAGAGAGAAAGTTCAGTTAAGGGTACCAGCTACACTTGCAGAGGACAATTCCCCAGCATTCACATGGTGGCTCATGATCATTTGTAACTCCAGCTCCAGGGGACCTGGACATGCACACAATGTATTTACATATCTGCAGGCAAAGCATCATAAATCTTGACAATAAACTGGCCAGGCAGTGATGGCACACATCATAATCCCAGCACTCGGGAGGCAGAGTCAGGCGGATCTCTGAGTTTGAGTACAGCCTGGTCTACAGAGTGAGTTCCAGGACACCCAGGGCTAAATAAAGTCAAAATTAAATACAACAAACTGAAATATGTAGAGGCTGGAAAGATGGCTTAGTTTAAAAGCACTTGCTTCTCTTCCAGAGGACCTGAGTCTGGCTCCCAGTACTCTGTCAGGCGCATGCAATTGTGACTCCAGCTCCAGGGGATCTGATGATGTCCTGTGGCCTGAGGGCACCTGCATTCTGGTGCACAAGGCACTTACATATAGTGAAAAATAATCTTAAAAAGCCTTTTACATATAGTGAAAAATAATCTTAAAAAGCCTTTTAAATTGAATGTAATTCAGCCTTTCAAGGATTAAAAATATAAATGAATGGTACCCAACTGGCATTTAAAAATTGGGTGTTTCTTTCCCAGCCACCAATTAAATTATTTCATCAACAATGGAGGATCACGGAGATGTAGATGTTAGAAACAAAGTAATTAATCACAGAGGGACTCGAAAGTGAAATTAGGTCAGCAAAGAATTTTTTTTCCAGAAAAGGTGGGCTGAGACCCAAAGCAGGCCAGTAAGCCCACTCACCCTAAATGACCTCTTCTCCCTGCATCTCATCCTATTCACACACACACACACACACTCCCCTGAGAACTCGGCTTCATAATCAGAGCACTCGATGATCTTGGAGCACAGGAGATAAGGGAGACCCACGAAATATGGGTGGGCTCTTATTGGGCTGGCGGCCTTTGCTAGAAGAAACATTTCCCACATAGAGAAAGGTGGCTGCTCCAGTGCTCTGCTCTTAAAGTGTGTAGCAGGTAGATGCAGGTGGCTGTTTCTGGAATACGTTATGTGATTTGTACAGTAATTGCCTTTTGGAGGCCTGGGGAAAATCCAAGGCCATCTCCACCCATAAATAGCTGCCTGTCTTCAGACATCTTGAAACTTAAATATTCAGTTTAACTGATCCTGTTGGAGCTTTCTGAACTTAGATGGGGAATTTGATGAGTCTTTACTTGACAAAGATTTAAACCAAGGCATTAAAAAAGTTTACTGGTAGTTTTGTCAGACTTTTTGAAAAATTATTTTAATAAAAGTCGAGGCTCACTTAAATATCTGTTTAAATAAAAACACTTTAAATGGCTGCTTTGTAAATGGCTGTTTCAAACTGATTCTAGTACATTTAGTCCCCTACTTGGCTGGGACTCTAAAAACTGTGCAGAGCTGTGTCAGAAATTAATATATAATTCAAAAGCTTACAGATTGAAGTCACATTCAGTTTAATGCATGCAAAGTAGCATGTTTTCAGTGTGGTTACTAAATGAGTCTTGTTTTTGTAACATATGATAAACATGCAATAATTAAAACTTGTAGATGTGTGTGTGTGTGTGTGTGTGCCTGTGTGTGTGTCTGTGTGTGTGTATCTTTTGTTTTGGTTTTAGTTTTCCAAGACAGGGTTTTCCTGTGCAACAGCCCTAGCTATCTATCCTGGAATTTGCTCTGTAGACCATGCTGGCCTTACAGAGATCCACCTGCCTCTGCCTCCCAAGTGCTGGGCTTAAAGGCCTGCACCACCAGTGCTGGCCCAGAACCTGTCTATTGCTGTAAAGAGACACCAGGACCATAGCTGCTCTCTTTTTTTCCATTTTCTTATTTGAATTAGAAACAAGATTGTTTTACATGTCAATCCCAGTTCCCTCTCCCTCCCCTCCTCCCCTACCACCCCCACAGCAGCTCTTATGAAGGAAAAACATTTCATTATGGTTGATCACTAGGTTCAGCCCATTATCATCATGGTAGGATAAGTATTTCAGTGGCATGCAGACAGACATGGTTCTGGAGAGAGAGCTGAGTGTCCTACATCTTGTAGGCAAAGGAAGTGGTGTGAATATCATGCTGAATGAAGCTTGAGCATATGTGTGACCTCAAAGCCTGCCTCCACAGCAACACACTTCCTCCAATAAGGGCATACCTACTCCAAAAAAGCCACACGTCCTATTGTCACTCCCTTTGGGGGCCATTTTCTTTCAATTGGGGACTTGCTTACTGTTTCAGAGTTCATGATTATCATGGTGGGAAGCAGATAGGCCTAATACTGGCTCAGTAGCTGAGAGCTTTACATCCTGATCCACGGGCAGCAACTGGCAGAAAGAGAGAGAGAGACAGAGACTGGGCCTGGTATGAGCTTTTGAAACCTCAAAGCCCACTCCAAGTGACATACTTTCTCCAACAAGGCCATACCTCCTCTCCTTCTAATCCTTCTGAAAAAGTTCCACTGTCTCAAATATATAAACTTTAAAACAGCCATAAAAAGTTAATCGGTGCTAACCACTTGACATGTGTCACTCCCCTCTCCCTCAGTGTGAGAACAAGTCAGACCAAATGGGACAGATCTAATCCTAGCATGAAGAAACAATAGAGCTCCAACCAACCAACCTTTAATCAGCAATGTCTTTAGTGATTAGTGAATAGTTTTCAGAGACAAGGGGGTATGGGGTTGTCAGACTCAAATGTCACAGAGGGCTTGGTAATGCTTGCCTATAATCCCAGCACTTGGGAGGCTGAAGCAGAACAGTTTGAGGCCACCCTGGGCTTTATCATGAGACACTGTTCCCAACCAATAGCAGGATAGAGTTGTTTATGCCAGCCCAGTTACCTGTCACTACATGAATGTGTCATAACCTTGGTTCTTATATCCCAGTTGTGTTTACTTTAGACTACTGGCATATGTCACCTCAGATGTTAAAGGGTGGGGAAATATAATCTTTTGACATTGCAATTGACACTGTCATCTACAAGTGTGTTAGACCATTATTTGTCTGTAGCTATCCTGTTGGACATACCTGCCAGAACTCAACACAATGCAGGCACACAGCACTGGAAGATATACAAAGAAATATGTGCCCGCCGTGTTGGTATTAGATCATGGATCTGTCCCTTTAAGATACTGGTCACTCTAAGCAGCTAGCTCCTAGGTAGGGGTGATGAAATCAGGCCATGCCTCCTACACTTCTCTAGGAAAGAGTTTAAAAGCCATGCCATGCTAGAGTGAACAGCCCCTGTGGTACCTGACTTCCCCATGCTCTATGTCACACAGGCTGGGTGAAATGAAGTCAGTGATGGTGAACTTCCCACCACCCACTGAGAGGATTTAAAGTCATATTTTTCTTTGGGGAATTTTCTGAAGGTCCTCTCTTGACCTGCCTCTCATGCTGCCCACTAAGAAGGCTCTTTTTTGTTGTTTTGTTTTGTTTTTTGAGACAGGGTTTCTGTGGCTTTGGAGGCTGTCCTGGAACTAGCTCTTGTAGACCAGGCTGGTCTCGAACTCAGAGATCCACCTGCCTCTGCCTCCCGAGTGCTGGGATTAAAGGCATGCGCCACCACCGCCCATCGAGAAGGCTCCCTTATACTTTAAGCTATCTATCCCTCCTCTCTAGGTTTTATGGATTTTGTTTATTTGTTTTTGTTTGAGACAGGGTCTCTCTATGTAAGCTTGGCTGGCCTGGAACTCTACTCCCTATGTAGATCAGGCTAGTCTCAAACTCATAGAGAGGAAACTGCCTCTGTATCCTGTCCCATTCCCCAACACCACCACCACCACCACCACCAGTGCTGGGATAAAAGGCAAGTGCCACTATGCCTAGCTGGTGCTCTCGAGGTTTTACAGAGAAGCCGATTTTTTTCTCTTTTAGACCCACCCCACTGCTTCTGATATAATGGACAGTCTCCTAAAATGATGTTCTACCTCAAGGACCCTGAGTCATCTCTCCAGGCCTGTGTGTGTGTTTGTGTGTGTGTAATATGTATGTGCCTAGGTGTCTGTATGTGCACCGAATGTGTACCACCCCTAAGGAGTCATACAAAAATTAGCAACAATCTAATGTGAAGCAACGGTCATCACACACGACTCTCCTGCAGCAATCCAGAGAATAAAGGGCTTTCTGAACTAATCCTGAAGAAACCTTAAGTCAGGCCCTAAGGCAAGTATCTTGGTTAAGGTTGGGGTTAGGGCTAACTCAACCACACTTACAAAGAACTCAATCTGCCAATCGGGTCATGGTGGCACACGCCTTTAATCCTAATGGGATGTAGAAGCAGGGGCATCTCTGTGAGATTGGGGCCAGCCTAGTCTGCAGAGTGAGTTCTAGGACAGCCAGGCCTATGTTGAGAGACCCTGTCTCAAAAAACAAAGAAATGCCAAGAATTCAAACTGCCCTTTGATGTTGACAGATCCAGTACATTCGGTGCAGTAGAGAAGCCAACCCTCATTCAAAATCCTTTTCTCCTTCCGATAACTCCAGGTAGAAATTAATCTGCAAGGATACACACCAAAATGTCGACAGTGTTTTGGGGCATGAAGGTTATGGGAATTTTTAGTTTAAAGATACACTTTGGGTACCTTTGCTGGAGGTACAGATGGTTGACACCACTCCCCCCATGTAAACCCTACCCACTCTTAGAAGAGTCACTAACCACTTGAAATCCAAGGACATATCACATTCACCAGAAAGTAAATTCCAGGTTTTGTGGGGTCTTAGATGATCTTAGGACTTAAACTAGAAGTCCAGGATTTTTTTCCCATTTTTTTCTGTATTACCGCCGAACACCTGTACCCTCTTCAGAAGGCTGTTTTTTGTTTGTTTGTTTGTTTGTTTTGTTTGTTTGGTTTTGGTTTTTTCGAGACAGGGTTTCTCTGTGTAGCTTTGGAGCCTATCCTGGCACTCGCTCTGGAGACCAGGCTGGGCTCGAACTCACAGAGATCTGCCTGCCTCTGCCTCCCGAGTGCTAGGATTAAAGGCGTGCACCACCAACGCCCGGCTAGTTTCTGTATTTTTACAGGTCTCTTTAAGAAGCCAGGGACCATGGCACTGTAAGACCAGTAGGAAAAAGTATGAGCTTTTAGGTCCTCATCCATGTTTAAGTTCTGGTACCCTCAAACAGGTACAGTCTTCCCTCAGAGTCTGTGGGAAACCGTTGTTAGCTGTCATGTGGGTGCTGGGAATTGAACTCAGAACCTCTGGAAGAGGAGCCAGTGCCCTTAACCACTGAGCCATCTCTCCAGCCCTGACAATCACTTTTGAGTAGAGAGCACAGCTGTTTAGTTTAGCAGGTGGAGTGCCAGCTCAAAGGCCCTGGGTGGTAGCACACAACCCGTAATGTAAGCAGAGACCAGAGTTCTAGGTCCTTCTTGGATTCAGCCAGCTCTTGGCCATCCTGGGATACAGGAGCATTCTGCCTCAGAGTCACAAGAAGCAAGAGTCCAACACAGATATGAAAAGTGTTTATTCTCAGGATAGTACAGTTCTCTTGGAGTCTCTCAAAGAAGCTCCAAGTTACATCCCCCAGGATGTGAGTCCTCCTTCAGAGGCTAATACATGAATACTCTATGCTTGGGAGACTCACTCTTTGGTTCCAGTCTTTTCTTCTTCCTTCCTATCGGAAGCGCCTCTCAGAAGTGATGAGCCGGGTGCTGTCCCATCTTCTTTCTAAGGTTCTTAGCATATGCTGGAATGTCTGTGTTTCTTTACAAAGTTTTCCATTCCTCCCCATGTGGCACTTTTATTAACTGGCTTATATTAGAGTCTTGTCAGTTTGCTGGGGACAGGAAGATGTTAAAAAACACCGCAAATAACAGACAAGCTGCATATGCAGCAATTGCAATCCAGAACCTGGGATCTTTGAGCAATGTCTTGTCAAAGCAGCTGAACACAGTGTAACCTATGGACATCCCAGCAAATCCGCCTGCGATGTGAGCCGCAAAGGACACCTTTGGAGAAAGGGGAGGAGAAATGGGTGGGGGAAGTGCTAATTCTGTATTTCAGCTGTGGATCTCCTACTCAAGTGCAAATATCGTCCTAGTCCTAAAGTCTGGGTCTCCCGACTAAGGAGACACAAAACCCTTTGTTCCCCCAAGACAAGGTAATGCTGTAAAGCACATAAAGCTGGTCATGGCACACGCCTTTAGTCCCAGCACTCAGGACACAGAGGCAAGTGATCTCTGAGTTCAAGGCCAGCCTGGTCTACAGAGCAAGTTCCAGGACAACCAGGGCTACACAGAGAAACCCTGTCTCAAAAAAAAAAAAAAAAAAAGCCTCTTTCTTTTTTGTTTATGTAGCTTATTATCATTATTGTGTATGTGTATTATCATGGGGTACACATGCCATAGGGTACATGTGGAGGACAGTGAACATCTTTGTGAAGTCAAGAATCTCCTTCCACAGCTTCAGGGGCTGAACAAACATCAGACTTGCATAAGAAGTGCAGTATACCCTGAGCTAGCTCACCAGCTCACCAGCCCAATTTCTTTTTCTTTGTCTTTGAGGCAAGTTCTTGCTCTATAACCCTGGCTGGACTGGAACTCAAAGAAATTCTCCTGCCTCAGTCTCCTGAGTGTTAGGATTATAGGTGTGTACCACCAACCCTAACAAAACATGTCATTTTCATCCACTCTCTCAGCACACAAGACAAAACAACTCCTACTTTTTTTTTTTTTCTCTTGATCAGCTTTGCAATTGGGATATCTCTACATAGAAAGCCAGCCAAGAACCAGGGTGGGAGTGGCCATGAGTTATCTCTGTTATCATAAACTGTTCGAGATGAGATGCAGAATTAAATAGTATTAAATAACAATAGAAATGTACTACCACATTCAAAGCTAACCACTGAAAATTAGTCATGTCAGCTTTCTTTATAGTGTACTTGGACACAAAATTCCATTACAATATTCGTTCCACTTTTTTTTTTTTTTTTTTTGACAGAACCCCACATATCTCATGCTGGCCTTGAACTAGCTATGCAGTGGAGGATGATCTTACTCCTGACCCTCCTGCCTCTACCTTACAAATGCTGAGATTATTGCCATGCTCCACCACATCCAGTTTTCCAGTCTGCTTTGAATTCTCTGTGGGCAGGGGAAGCCTGTTTTTGAATGGCTACCAGCATGGCAAGCGAGACAATGAGCCAAGTGACAGACAATCTATGTGCATTTGAGATGTGTACCCAAGTGTGTTTACTCATCTGCGGGTACACATGCATATGCAAGCGGCCCCCCTCAATCAACTCTCCGTTCATCCACTTTATATACTGAAGTAGGTTTCTCTTTTTTAAAGGAACTCTCTGTTTGGTCCCAGAACTAACTATGTAGACCAGGCCCCTCAAACTCACAAAGTTCTTCCTGCCGTGGCCTCCCGGTGCTGGAATAAAAGGCATGCATTACCATGCCCAGGGAGGTAAAGTCTCTGACCTCAGCCCTGAGCTCCACCATTCTGGTTCTCTAGCTAGGCAGCTTGCCCTGGGGATCCCAGTTTCCTCTTACCAAGGCTGGGGAATAGAGGCTGGCCACCATGGCATTTACGTGAGTGCCGGGGGTCCGAACTCCAGTCCTCCCACGTGTACATCAAACTCTTTATCCACTGAGGCATCTTCTCAGATCTACCTTAGGAATATTGTTAAAATATGGATATTTGATTGCTTTAAATTGGAGTTGTAACCTCTATTTGATATCCCTTTTTTGTGTGTATTTGTCTGTTTTATTTTGTTGTTATTAGCCTTGAACACCAGATCCTCCTGCCTCAGTCTCCTGAGTGCTGAGATGGCATGATGACTCTTTTTGATGGGAAGATAAGTATTTATTAAAAAAAAAAAAAGGGAAGAAATTGAAACTGGAGAGAGGTTTGTCTCAGCAGGTAAAAAAGTTCTTGCCTCAGAATCCTGATGACCTAAGTTTGAGTCCTGGGACCCATGTGGGAAAGCTGGGTACAACAGTGAATATTATAAGAAAGCTGGGCCTGGCACACCTTTAGTCCCAGCACTCAGGTGGCAGAGGCAGGTGATCTCCAGGTCAGCCTGGTCCACAGATCGAGTTCCAGAATGGCCAGGGCTACACAAAGAAACCCTGTCTCTTCTAAAAGAGACACACACACACACACACACACACACACACACACACACACACCCCACACACGAAAAGAAAAGAGAAAGAGCTGGATATAGCAGCACATCTCTGTAATCCCAGAATTCCTATGGTGTGACTGGAGGCAGAGACAAGATGGAAGGCAAGAACCAACTCTGAAAGTTGTCCTCTGACCTCCACATACACGACATGAACATATATGTGCATACATGCACTGACACACACACTCAAGCACAAAGATAGGAAGTAAACTCACCGGAGACCCATTTGCAGGGACAAAGAACCTTCTGTAGAGAGCAAATCCCATATCTGACGCAACTAGAAGAGAAGACACCCCAATGAAGCATAGCATCTCCACATCGGGCAGTTTTTTCCCCTCAGCAGTGTCTTGTTTTACTCTGCTGCTATGCCAGCTGCTATTCTTAGATCTCTCCATTAATTCATCAGTTCTCATAACAGCCCAATGAAGTGGACATTATCAGTAACCTAGTTATGGATTTACTAATCAAAGAAGTAGTTATTGAGTATCTCCCACCTGACAGCACTATTCTCATAATAGACATAGAGCAAACAGCAGACCAGATGGCCCTGACCTATGGAGGGGGGTTGTGCATTGCCAGGTACATTGGCTGATGCCTATAATCCCAGCACTTGGGAGGCAGAGGCAGGCAGATGTCTGTTAGTTCAAGGCCAGCCTAGTCTACATACCAAGTTCCTGGCCAGCCAACACTACAGAGACTCTATTTAAAAACCTAATCAAGCAAACAAAAGGCAACAGTGTGCCATGTTACACTGAGTGCTACAGAGAAAATACAGATTAGAAGAATTTGGAGTGTCAGGAATAGGCTGTCCTTTAAAATATTATTTTTAATTAATTTAGTGTATAAGTGTGGCTGTGTATGTGGGGGAGTGTGCCTATGTGCCACAGTGTTTGTGTGGAGGTCAGAGGACATCTTGCAGAAGTCAGCTCCCTACTCCCACTACATGGGTCCTGGGAGTTGAACTCAGGATGTCAGGCTTGGCAGTAGGTACTTTTACCCACTGAGCCAAACATTTCATCAGCTAGACTGTCTTTTTGTTTTGTTTTGTTTTGTTTTTCAAGACAGGGTTTCTCTGTGTAGCTTTGGAGCCTATCCTGGCACTTGCTCTGGAGACCAGGCTGGGCTCGAACTCACAGAGAACTGCCTGCCTTTGCCTCCTGAGTGCTGGGATTAAAGGCGTGCACCACCAACGCCCAGCCAGGCTGTCATATTTTAATAGAAGGATCAGGGAAGCTCTTCAAAAAACCTTCACTGGATGGAACAAGTCATGCTGTTGTGTAAAGCAAGAATATTCCAGACAGAGTGAAGAACAAGCATGAATTCCCTGAGGCAGAAATGTCCCTCAAATCAGCAATATCAGAATCATCTGGGAACTTCTGTTTTATTTTGCTCAAGATGGGGTTTCACTATATATCCCAGGCTAGTCTTGAATTTACTATCTAGCCTAAATGGGCCCAGAATCCTCCCGCCTTGACCTCCAGAGTGCTGGGATTATAGGCAAGAATCATAACACTTGGCACCCTAGATAGGTGAATGAGAAACTAAGGTTCCAGGCAAATCTGGACTTGAATTAAAGATGGAGAGCTGGGCGACAGGATCAGGCAAGGGGCTGATGCTCAGGGACCTTATGAGACTTTGCCATATGTCTGACATCACAGTGACAGGAAGGCTTTGAGGATTTTGAGTACAGGTGACATGTGCCTGATGAGACTTTTGGTTTGCTTGCTCTTGTGGGTGGGCCTGGGGAAGGATCAGTCTGGCTTTAAGATGGGAAATGGGAATCAAGAACAGGAGCAGAGAGAACAGACAGAGGACTGCATTAGCAATCCAAGTGAGGGTAATGGCAGCATTTTATGCACAAAGAATGTAAGACACGAACTGCGGCTGGAGCTCACTTGGTGGGGTGTTTGCCTACTTTGCAGAAAACCCTGGGCTGGATCGCTGGCACAATAGAAAACCAGGTAAGACAGCACAGGTCTATAATCCTTGTGCTCAGGAGGTGGGAGCAGGAGGATGAGGAGTTTAGGGACATCCTCTGCTATATCAATAGTTCAAGGCCATCCTGGTCTACGAGAACCTATCTCAAACCTCCCTCCTACTGCTCCCCCCAAATTGAAAATTTAGAAACTTAGGAAGAAGATAGATTATCTCAGTAGTCTCTAAGCTTTCCCTTTGCAGACAAAAATGATATGCTTTCCATTGTGTGAAAATGAGAATCTGGAGCAGAAATCATAAGTGAAGCTCTTGTGAGAGGCACAGGGCACACCCAGAGCTTGCCCTGGCACATTACCTAGGCACTTTTGCCAGCAGACAGTTCTCCCCAACACCAGACTATCAATCCTCCCTCGTGGGAAGGCCAGGAACTCCGGGGAGCCCTTCTGAAGGCTTAAGAGATTGAGGGTGCAAAGCGTTCACAAATCTCACTTACCTATCAGGATGATGATGAGTAGCCTAAAGATTCCAAAGGCAGGAATCATTTCTCGAAAATTCTGGGAAAGCAATAAGAAGAATATAAGCTAAATGGCATCTCAACCTGACTCCCTCTTCATTTGATGTTTCATTTAAAATAATGTTTATTGGTTTTGCTTTTGCTTTCAAGACAGAGTTTGTCTGTGTAGCCCTGGCTGTCTTGGAACTCATAGAGATCTGCCTGTCTCTACTTCCTAAGTGCTGGAATTAAAGACGTGCTCCACCACACCCAGCTTAAAGCAATGTCTATGCCTCAAATACTTGCAAGGCAAGCCACAGATGCAACAGCCAAGTTTTCAAATCCACCAGAGAAGGACAATGCTGCTGTATTTTGGACCATAAAACAAAACATAATGTTTAATTTTATCATGTAAATGACACAATTTAATTAGTCAGTAGCTAAATACAAGCAACATAAAATCAACATTTAATGTGTCAATACATGGAGGGATAAGTCTGGTAAAATATTTCTAAGCCTTTCTGGTTAATATTATTTTACTAATTCATCTTCTTTCCCCGTGGGAGTTAAGAGAAATTTAACCAATATTTGAGCATTTCTTTCATTTTTTTACAAGACTGGAAATGGCAGGCCATTATTTTTAAATTACATTTTCAAAAATGTTTTGTGTTGCCTGTGTGTGTGTGTGTGTGTGTGTGTGTGTGTGTGTGTGTGTGTGTACATGCCTCACATGCGGAGATCACAAGATCACAAGATCACAAGACATGTGAGAATAGGTTTTCTCCTTCTACCGTATGGGTGCAGGGGACTGAACCCAAGTGTCCAGGCTTAGTGGCAAGGCCTTTACCTGCTGAGTCATCTCGCTGGCCGGAGGCTGTTATTTAATCGAACTTTAGCTCCCTGGGAAGAAAGTTTATTATTTGAAAGGGGAGGGAGCAGCAACTCAATAAATCAAAATACAGGTGTCTGACTAAGCAGTATCCTGGTGACAGCATGACCCAAAGGGTTTACTACAGCTGGACTGGGAGTTGTTTTTTTTCTAGTGCCCAAACAAATTCTTAGGTCATAAGAACTCAGTAAATGTTGATAAATCAGGATTCCCTGAATCAAGCAACTATTGGGGGGGGGGCGAGTCCAGGAGCTGGAGAGACAGCTCCAGACAATCTGGGTTTGAGTCTAATACCCACACAATGGCTCATAACATCTGCAACTCCACTTTCAGGGGACCAAACCCCTTCTTCCAACCTCCACAGGCTCCATGAGCACATGGTACTCATAAATACATGCAGAAAAAATACACACAAAATAAAATAAACAACTTTTTTTTTTGAAGTCCAGAAACAGGGTATGGTGGTGCATGCTTGTGACCTTTGTGAATAAAAAGGCAAAGATCCAGAATCCAAGAGAGGAGCAAAGTAAAGGGCACCCTCTGCTACATATCAGGTTCCAGACTAACCTGGGCTGCATGAGATCCTATCTTTAAAAACTCCATTCCCACGCTGAGTGGTGGTGGCGCACGCCTTTAATCCCAGTATTTGGGAGGCAGAGGCAGGTGGATCCCTGTGAGTTCGAAGCCAGCCTGGTCTCTAAGAGCTAGTTGCAGGACAGTCAGGGCTGCACAGAGAAACCCTGTCTCAGGAAAACTAAAATAAAATAAAATAAAAGCCTTCCACCCCCCACATTCTTACCAGGATCACATTCATAAAATAGCCTCCCATCAATGCGTAGACTCCTCCTGAAGCACCCACAAGATACTTAAGGGGATCAAAAATGGAGCTGGCAAGGGAACCTGGAGAAATAAAATACAAAAGAACAGATAGAGCTGCAAGAATTATGAATGAAGTAGGATTAAATAAAAATCTGAAGTAAAAATACGGCACATTTTGGCCATTTTCGTATTAGCAAGCAACAGCTCCACCTTGCCCTTGTGACCCGTGTAGATTCAGGCATGCAGGTTATACTGAAACATTAAACATCTGCCAAAAGTAAAACAGAGACAAGAGCTCAGAGTCTGGAGCCAGACCATTAACCACGACTTCAGGACGTTATTTAGTCTCCTGTCAGTAACATGGAAATATTAATAAAATTGTTCCCAAGGGCTTTGAGGGTGCGTAAAAGAGTTGATACACACATTGTATGAAAGCACGGTGTCGTGTGTTACGTGGTCTTGCTAGCTGTTACTTCAGCTAGGCCAATGAGACTGCTCAGCGGGCGGAAGCTTGCTGCCAAGCCTGATAACTTGATCCCTGGGATCCACATGGTGGAAGGAAAGAGCCAGCTCCAGCTCCAACACATCCTCTGACCTCCACAAGAGTACACACACACACACAAACACACACACATACACAGGTACACACACACACACACACACACACACACACACACACACACACACACACACACATACACAGACACACACGTGCACACGTACACAAAAACAAGAAAGCATGACAAACCATGTCCTGTGTACTACAGGTACTCTTATCTTCTAGAACTCTATAGAAGAGCTGTGCCCACTGAGGCAGCTCTCTGGAGGTGGCTCCGAATCCTTCTTGACATGAAGTCCAATCATATTCTCCAAGCCTGATGAAACTCAAGTCCTAACCCAGTCCTAGCTACCTGGACCAAAAGAAGGTGGACATTAAAATGTCCTCTCTATACTTCTTACTTTTCCTATTTGTTTTTGTTGTTGTTGTTGTTGTTTGTTTTTTGTTTTTTTGCCTCTCATGACTTCCCTTCATTCCTTAGGATGTAATGCTATCTTTATTTTGTGTAAAAAAGAATGTTTTGGGATTGGAGATATGGCTTAGCTGTTACAAGCACCAGCTGCTCTCCCTAGATTTGGTTGCCAGCATGCACATCTTGCTTCACAACCACCCCTAACTCCAATTCCAGGAGATCTGACACCTATTCTGGTCACCGCAGGCACTGCATGCATGTGTGCACGAAGGCAAAATGCCCACACACATGAAAATAAAGGGTGTGCTGAGGAAGCACTCAGGAAGGAAGGACTTTCTCAGAAGGTATCTCCCTTATGAGGAGACGGGCAGGGGGAGAAGGAAGAGGGCAGGCTCAAGAGGAGGACGACGAGAAGAAACATCTCTTGAACATGCCACTCTCAAATGCATACATGCATACATGCATACATACATACATGCATACATACATCCATGCATAGAATGAGAAGTTGGCAGAGGAGCACATACTTTTAATCCCAATACACGGTAGGCAGAGGCAGGAAGATTGACACAAGTTAATGTCAGTCTGGTCTATATAGTGAAATCCTATCTCAGAAAGCAAGAACAAAACAAAATAAATGGGAGAAACTTTACCACAGAATATTCACCAAATAATAAATAAAAGGGTAACAAATGGATTTTGAGCCAGGCAGTGGTGGCACACGCCTTTAATCCCAGGACTCAGGAGGCAGAGGCAGGAGAATCTTTGTGAGTTCAAGGCCAGCCTGGTCTACAGAGTGAGAAAAAAAAAAAAAAAAAAAAAAAAAAAAAGTCTAGACTCATTAGTCAAGCATATCAGGGGTTTCAAGACTCAAACACCAAGCTGCCTGTAGTTTCAAAGTGTATAAATGCTATAAGACTGTGAGATAATCTGAGGACAGCCACTGACTTTTCTTCATGGGTTTATATTATCTCTAATATCTAGTCTCCAGTTAAAGATAGAGGCAGGAACTCTTACCATGTTTCCTAGCATATTATAATTATGCATATCAGATGCTAGTGTGCAATAAATATCGACTCAAGTAAAAAGCCCACTGTAAACATCTATACCTTTGGCTTCAATCCTAAGAGCCCAGAAGTGTTGATCCCATGCTACCCTCAGAACACTGACCTGCAAGCACTCCTGCCAGGTACACCAGCCCCACTCCGAGGCCTTTGTGGACCATTTCCAAGGGAATACCCAGAACGAGCTGAATTAAAAGATTCCCCATGATGTGCTGGACTCTGCAGAAACAAACACCGGTCACATATGCAAGCAGCTGTGGTCATGGGAGATTTGCCTGTGACAGTTCTACATAAGAACTTGCTAGAATTTTTTTTCTATCTTTTAAGAGAGAGAGACAGGCAGGCAGGCAGGCAGGCAGGCAGGCAGGCAGACAGACAGACAGACAGACAGACAGACAGACAGACAGAGCCCAGGGCAACCAGAAGAGGGTTCCAGATCCTTTACAGCTGTAGTCACACAAGCTGTGACCCACTCCACCTGAGTCTCAAGATCAAAGCTACAGTCCTCATGACTGAGCAGCAAGCGCTCCTAATTGCTGAGCTGTCTCTCTAGCCCCTATATTCTAGGTTTTTAAAGCAGGCAACTGTTTTATCTGTTCTGTTGTTTTGTTTATTTTTTTTTCTTCTCTTTTTTCAAATTTTTTTTTTTTTTTTTTTTGGTTTTTTGAGACAGGGTTTCCCTGTGTAGCTTTGGAGCCTATCCTGGCACTCACTCTGTACACAAGGCTGGCCTCGAACTCACAGAGATCCACCTGCCTCTGCCTCCCAAGTGCTGGGATTAAAGGCATGCACCACCAACGCCCAGCTTAAAAATAATTTTTAAGACATTTATGTTGTGCATACAGTGTTCTATCTGCATTTACACCTGCAAATCAGAGGAGGACATCAGATCCCATTATTGATGGCTGTAAGCCACCATGTGGTTGCTGGGAATTGAACTCAGGACCTCTGGAAGAGCTGAGCCACCTGTCCAGCCTCCTTCCTCTCTGTTTTAAAATAAAATCTTACATCAATATGTAAAGCAAATAGAAGTCTTTTAGAATTATAAATGTATAAGTTCTGCCTTACAACAACTACAGTGAAAACAAAGACCAATGAATCTAATTTAAAGAGTAAAGTCCAGGCTTGGTGGAGTACAACTTTAATCCCTTTTTCTGGGAGGCAGAGGCCGGCAGAACTCTGTGAGTTCAAGGCCAGTGTGATCTATGTGGTGAGATCCAGGACAGCCAGGGCTACATAGTGAGACCCTGCCTCAATTTAAATAATAATAATAGTCATAAAGAACTCAAGGGCTCACCCGGCCTGTAGCTCAGAGGGTACAGCACTTGTTTAGCATACACAAAGCTCTGGGTTCTGTATGCAGCACCAAGCACTCTGCCCTGTATGTCTATCTAGCCACTGACCAAAAATGTGATCATTTTAAATCCAGGGTTGAGTGGGTTACATGGGTGAAGCTCAATTCACCTAACACCACAGGGATCCCCTAAAGAAGTAGGATAGCCATAAGCTATTTGCTGACCACAGTGGGTATAGGGGACCAAAGATGCTGAGCAAACACTTAAAAAAATAATTTTTTTTGAGACTTGTAGCCTGTGCTGGCCTTGAACTCCTGATCCTCCAGCCTCTACCTCCCACCTGCTGAGATTGAGGTGAGCACCACTGCCTGGCTCTGAGTGAGGTCTTGAAAGGCTCTCACATTTAAGAAACTGTAAATAACAGGCAATGGTGTTGCACACCTTTAATCCCAGCACTCAGGCATAGATGGGCAGATCTCTGAGTTCGAGGCCATCCTAGTCTACATAGAGACCAGAACAGCAAGAACTACATAGAGAAAGGAAAGAAGGAAAGGAAGGAAGGAAGGAAGGAAGGAAGGAAGGAAGGAAGGAAGGAAGGAAGGAAGGGCAAACAAAACTGGAAGGCAAACATAGCCTTCCCAGTTCATTTATCTTATCTTTCTTACTTTGCTTCCTCCCTTCCTCTGTGTGTGTGTGTGTGTGTGTGTGTGTGTGTGTGTGTGTGTGTGTGTGTGTGCATGCATGTGTGTGTGTGTGTGTGTGTGTGTCTGTGTGTGCAGGTGTTGTGTAGTTGCACATTGAGGCCAGGGGAGGGCACCGAGTCTCCTCCTCTATCATTCTCTCTCAACCTTATTGCATTAAGGCAGGGTCTCTCCTGAGCCTGAAGCCTGTGTTATTCAGCAAGGCTGGCAGCTATCTTTGGGTCTCCACTTGTCACAGCACTGAGGTTACACACACACACACACACACACACACACACACACACACACACACACACACACACACACACAAGACCATGCCAACAAGTGCTCCTAACCACTGCGCCCTCTCTCCAGTTCCACCTACACTGTTTCTATACCTCCTTATGCTACTCACTGGCAGTGAGTCAGTTAATTCATAGTGTGCGTCAGTCAAAATGCTCACAAATGAATTTTTACAGTGTGTGTGGAAAAGGCAGATTGGTGATTCAGGTCTACTCCTTGATCATCTAAATGGTGCTTTGGACAACATCCAACAGGTAAGGTGACCTACTTACAGTTTGATAGTGATTCCGTCTCATCTCATGAATATTCCTTTTTTTTTTCAAGACAGAGTTTTTCTGTGTAGTCCTGACTGTGCTGAAACTCACTCTGTAGACCAAGCTGGCCTCAAACTCATGGAGTTCTCTGCTTCCAGAGTGGTGGGATTAAAGGCATCCAGCTCATTCATTAACATTCCCATATCAATACCAACATTAGGCAGTTATGCAGAGTATAGTACTTCTAGCCTCTGAGGGCACCAGTGCACATCACACACACACACACACACACACACACACACACACACACAAATAAATAGTAATAGTAACAAATGTCCCAAACAGACTAGTGGCAATTTGGGTTTTGTGTGTGTCTCTCTCTCTTCCTTCACTCCCGATCCTCTCTGACAGGGTCTCACTTTGTAGCCATGGCTGATCTGGAATTCTATGTAGATCAGGGCTAGATTTCAATTCAGAGATTTTCTTGCCTCTGCTTTCCTAGTGTTGGGATTCAAGGTGTGCTCCATTACACCCTGCTTTGTTTCCTTTTTAAAAAAATTTAAATCTTAGCCAGGCGGTGGAGGCAAACACCTTTGATCCCAGGACAGCCTCCAAAGCAACAGAGAAACCCTGTCTCAAAAAAAAAAAAAAATTAATCCTAGTGTATTTGTGTGTGTGCATGAATGTGTGCATGTCCATGTGTGTCAGAAGACAATTTGCAAAAGTCAGTTCTCTCCTTCCACTATGTGGGTTCTAGGGACTGAACTCAGGTTGTTTGGTTTGGTGGGTGTCTTTAGCCTCTGAGCCATCTCATAGACACCTGTTTTTGTTTGTGTTTTAAGACAGTCTGGCGATGTGGCTGGCTGGCCTAAAATTCAACATGTAGGTTATGTTAACCTCAAACTTGCCATGATCTTCTTGCTCCCAAGTGCTGGAATGACAGACAGGCACCACCCTGCCCAGCCTAACAATTACTTCTGATCTCAAGTGATGCTGTTGACTTGATCATCATCCCTTACCCAGCGTGGACCAGCATGTATGAGATAAACCTCCAGGCTTCTTCCCTCTTGTCAGGGCGGTAAGTGAAGGGACTTTCCAAGATCCCCGTGTCCAGAGTGATCCACTGCTTCTGAGGCTTCCACACAGCATAATAAACAAACACGGCCAGCTGTCAAGGAGGAGTAGTCATGCTGGTTAACCAAGCTTCCTCTAGAGATGGGCCCCATTCAAACCCAACAGCAGTAACTGCGTCTGAGCGCTTAGCTCTTCGTGGGCTCTGAAGATGTTGGAGTTAAATTTCTCCACCATCCCCCCTCCCCCAGCGATCATACTTCCTCTAGCCCAGATTATAACGAAGACGTTCCAAGTCCCTTCTCCTTGCTTTCCCGACTCTCTGAGGTCACTATGTTCTCTATCACCCCCCCTCTCCCCCCCATTACATAACCTTCATCCCTCACCTTCACTGACTTGACAGCCTAGAAACCTGGCAGACAATCTTACTGAAATGATGAGAATCAGTGTCCCAGTGACATCATGTGAGGTCCTGTGTCCCAGTGACGTCATGTGATGTCCAGTCTCATGATGGGATGGGAAGGGCTCTTTACTTCTATGCCATTCTTTCCCTACACTCCCAACTCTAGTCGAACTATGAAAAAAAAGTCTCAGTACACGCCCAGGCATGGACACTCTACAAGGTACCTGGCCAATATACTTCATCTTTACCAAGGTCATGAAAGACCACTGAGAAGTTGCCATGAATCAGAGGAGCCTGGGGAGGCAGACAACTTAATGCAGTGTGAAACCCTGTATCAGAAAGGACCAGAGGACGAGAAAGAGGACATTAGTCAGGAAACCGATCAACGCTAAGTAAAGCCTGGAGTTTAATTAATAGTGCAGGTCCAACCTCCTGAATATAAAAGATAAAATCCAAAATGATCCGAATTTTCAAATTTTTGAACACCAATATGAACACCTCAAAAAGTTCTAGAAATCTGGGGAGATGACTCTGTGGTTAAGAGCACTGGGTGATCTTCTAGAGGACCCAGGTTCAATTCCCAGAACCCATACAGTGGCTCGCAACCATCTCTAGCTCCCATTACAGGGAATGCATGCCTTCTTCTGGCCTCTGAGGGCATGGGGCACACATGTGGTACACAGATATATATGCAGGCAGGCCACCACACACATAAAATAATAAAAATTTAGAAAACAAGTTTTAGGTGTATGTGTGCATGCCGATCTTCATGTGTGTGCACATACAGGCAGAGGCCAGAGGTCAACATCAGGTGTCATTCCTCAGGTGCCAATCACTTTGCTTTTTGAGACCGAGTCTCTCGTTGACCCAAAGTCCAAAACAGTAGGCTAGGCTGGCTGGCTGGCTGGCAAGCCTCGGGGATCCATCCATTTGTCTCCACCTCCTTAGTGCTCAGATTCAAGCACATGCCAGCACTCCTGGCTCTTTTACATGGGCTCTGGGGATCAAATTCATGTCCAGATGCCTGCATGGGAAGTATTTTACAGACTGAACTACCTCCTCAGACCCAAAGTTTTAGGTTTGGGAGTGCCAGCATCTATACAAATATTACAAAGTTGGAGCCAGAAAGATGACTTAGCCATTGAGTGCCTACTTTGCACTTGCAGAGGACCTGAGTTCAGTTCCCAGCATCCACACCTAACAGCTTACAGCTGCTTGTAACTTCAGCTCCAGGAAATCTACTGCCGTCTTCTAGTTCAGTAAAATACATTTATCTTATATGCACCTGTGCATCATCTGCCTTGATTAAAAAGTTTCTCCTACTGAGTGGATGGGAAGTGGGCTGGGGTGAGGCAAGGGGCGGGTGCGATAAAAACAGTTTCTCCTACATTGTGCATATATATATATATATATATTGGTTTTTCGAGACAGGGTTCCTCTGTGGCTTTGGAGGCTGTCCTGGAACTAGCTCTTGTAGACCAGGCTGGTCTTGAACTCACAGAGATCCGCCTACCTCACATGATTGCTGGGATTAAAGGGGTGCGCCACCAACGCCCGGCTAAAATATATATATTCTGAAATATGGGTGCTGAAAGAGATAGCTCGGTGAATAAAAACCTATACTACTCTTCAAAGAATCAGAGTTCAATTCTCAGTACACATTATCAGGTGACTCACAACCATTTGTAACTCCAGCTCCAGGCGGAATCCAGTAACTCTGGCTTCTGCAGGCACCTATGCTTACACACAATTAAATAATAATAAAAAAAAGAAATTGTAAGATTTTCTGTTAGGAGATACTCAGTCACTGGGCAGAGGTGGCACACACCTTTAATTTCAGCACTTGGGAGGTAGAGGCAGGTGGATTTCTGTGAGTTCAAGGCCAGCCTAGTCTATAAAGTGAGTTCAGGGACAGCCAGAGCTGTTACACAGAGAAATCCTGTCTCAAACACACACACACACACACACAGAGAGAGAGAGAGAGAGAGAGAGAGAGAGAGAGAGAGAGAGAGAGAGAGAGAGGAGAGAGAGAGACTCTGCCAACACTATGCAACATTCATGTTTTAGATCTAGCTACGTTACTTTGGAACTATGTAACATTAACAGTGGGAGAACTGGGGGCTCTATTTTTGGAACATTTATTTTTTTTAAGACAGAGTTTCATGAATCCCAGACTAGTCTTGAAATTGCTAAGTAGCACAGGGTGACCTTGCTTGAAGTTCTGATCCTTCTGTCTATAGTTCTTGAGTGCTGGGATGGCAGGTATGTCCTACTATACCTGGTTTTACAAAATGTTGGGGAGTGAATCCAGGTTTTCAAGTATGTTAGGCAAGCCCTCTATTAGCAGCAATGTCCTCAACTGGTCCTCAGGTAAAGGGCAACTGCTGCGCCCCCTGCTCTAGCACCTGCTCCGGCACTTGCTCCAGGACCTGCTCCAGGGACCTCACTGTGGGGAGCTATGCTCTCAAAGCACTGTCTTGTTCTTAAACCTGTGATAATCTCCCACTTTTCTCCAATGCCTCCCTCATCCTCACGTGCACTCAGAACCAATAGATGCACAGTGACACCAGATAATCCAGGCACAGAGCCTAACGCTCCCCAGTCTTGCAATAACACAGGTAAGTAAGCCTCTTCTGGAAATTGTTGTGGAATGTTACTTTAACTATGTGAAGATGTATTACATTTGTTTGTGTTACATTTGTTTAACAATGTAAATATGTGATACATTTGTTTCTACTTGCCTGCCTAAGTCACCCTATTGGCCTAATAAGAAGCTGAATGGCCAATAGCTACACAGGATAGGTGGGGCTGCAGGCAGAGAGAATAAGTAGGAGAAGGAATATAGGCTTGAGAGAGAAGAGAACAAGGGAGAAAAAGAGGGGAATGCCTGGAGCCAGACAGACAGATACACGAAGGACACAGGAAAAATAGGACATACAGAATGAAAGAAAGGTAAAAGGCCCTGAGGCAAATTGTAGATGACAAGAAACAGATAAATATACATTATAAGAGCTAGTGGAACAAGCCTAAACAAAGGACGGAGCATTCATAATTGATAATAAGTCTCTTTGTCTTGATTTGGGAGCTGGTTGGCAGTCCAAGAAAGCCTGCTACAGGAAATGCTTGCATATTTGTCATAAAAGATTTGGTTTCTGCAATGGTTAATTCTATGTTCAATTTGGCAAGGTTCATATAGACTCAGATATCTTCAAGCATGATTCCAGATGTTTCTGTGAGTGGTTTTGCTTTTTTGTGTACTGTCTATCCATTAACTAGTTAGCTAGTTAGCTAGCTAGCTAGCAAATTACTTAGTTGCAGCATCTCACTATGTAGCCTAGGTTAGCCTCAAACTTTGTAGCCCAGGCTCTATTAACCTCAAGATCCTTCTGCTTCAGTTTCCAAATTCTGAGATTACAAAATCATGCCCCCCCCGCCCACCAATATCATTTCTTGAGATGAGATTAATATTTAATTTAGTTCCCCATTCCCTCCATTTTGTGTGTGAGTTTCAGAGGAAAGCCTTAATAGAAAAAAAAAAAAAAAAAAAAAAAAAAAAAAAAAAAAAAAAAAAGACTGTATTTCATGAGGAAAAGAATTATACTAGCAAGTGGCCTTGGCCTCAACACAAAACCCTTGGCCTGGAGATTGGAGAGTTGACACCTTCCTCACTTTTCAGTCCCCCCCCCCATCACACCTTTTTGATCCTGTTCTATGGGAAACCCTGACTACTACAGTCCCTGATACCAACCTGGGGCATTAGTGGGAATTAAGAGGATTACTCTAGGGACATCGTAATGCCCCTGAAGTCATGCCCTCTAGGCAGCCATCCCTGCCAACTCTTTCATAAGACAGCAGTCCAGGAGAAACACCTTGGTATCACAAAGCACAGGAGGGGCCCAGCCTTTCCCAGTCACTAAGACACACCCTTGGGTGGCTCATTCCCAGATCTCTGAGCTTTGCCCTGTTTCTGGAAACCAGGAAAGCTGAGCCAGTCATAGTTGGAGAACATATCCCAACAGCCCAAAGTAGACACCCACAGCGGATGCCACAATTTTCCTTTGCAAGCTCAGGCAGCTGGTGACTGTTCTAAATATATACCCCTGGCCGACCTGACTAACCAGTCTATTTTGTTTCATGAGATAAAACCAATTTGCAAACTGAACATGGTGGTTGTTTGCCTGTAATCCCAACACCCAGCTGGTTGTTATAAAAGGATTATAATGAGTTTATGGCCAGCCTGAGCTACATAGTGATTTAGAGGCCAGCCTGGGCTACATTCCCACCTCAAAAAAAAAAAAAAAAAAAGCTAATTTGCAGACCCAAATCTCCCTGGCTTCTAAAGCTCAGCTAAAATGAATTGAAGCTAGTGATGTCAGTCAACACTAGGCAGAGAGTTTTCATCATGCAGGAAACCAACCTCTGAGCTGGCAACAACTGAGAAAATCAGCTCTGGGAGCAGGGAGTAGGCGGAGGCTTCATGTGTGCTGCCCTCGTCCCTCTGTGTTCTCTTCCTATATGGATTTTTCTCTAGAAGTCGGTTTTGTGCCCACTCTGTTTTCCACTTCCAGTCTGAACTGATGTGAGGGCCCCTCACATGTTGGCCGTTACCTCAGCCATGCTGATGGAGATGATGAACAGTGGTGGCGGGAGGCAGTTGGCTCTCTCCAAGTATGTTCTTCGGACTGGCTCCGGAAGCATCCACTTTGAGACAATGCTGTGGACCTTTCGGCTTCTGGGGAAGTCTTTCCCTTCCCTGTCCTCTCTCGTCTTCTCCTCCTCCTCCAGCTCTGCCTTTCCCTCTCTCTCAATGTTCAGATTCACACTCTCCAGCTCCACATCGTGAGCAGCAGCCATTGGCCTGGTCCTCCCTCCACCTAAAACAGACAGGAACGTCGGGGAAAACAAGATGAGCCTTTGGTCTGAAGGATGTGGCTCCTTCCAACGCTCCTTGGAAAACTTTTCCTGGTCCTTCCTGTGTGTGTAGCTAGGAAGCAGCTAAGGATGATCAAGATGGTCTCAACCTCCTAAGTGGCCCCAAATGATGTTTTCACCATATTGTTTTGTAAATGTTTTAAAACACAGTGATTTGAGCCGGGCGTTGGTGGCGCAAGCCGGGCGTTGGTGGCGCACGCCTTTAATGCCAGCACTCGGGAGGCAGAGACGGGCAGATCTCTGTGAGTTCGAGGCCAGAGCGAGTCTCCAGAGCGAGTGCCAGGATAGGCTCCAAAGCTACACAGAGAAACCTTTTCTTGAAAAACCAAAAAAAAAAAAAAAAATCACAGGGATTTGGGGCAGGTAAAACTGTTTTTTGACATTGTTGTTTGGTGTGTGTGTGTGTGTGTGTGTGTGTGTGTGTGTGTG